TGCTCATTTTATGAAAGGCTACAATTCTTTACATCATTAAAGACATTTCACTAGTTAGCTTAATTTTTACCCATTAGATAAGAATGGGTGGAGAGTAGAACTAGGAAAAAAAGACATATTTAATTTTAAGCACAATTTCTTCTCTAATAGCTACTTTCCTATATATTTTAACACAAAATAGTATTTCATTAACATCAACAAACTTAATGCCAATGCAATTAAAATCTATTTTTTTTTAGATTTGTGGAGTATTCATAGGGATGACTTAACACTAAGGATTTCTGTTTATCCTACTAGAATGACAATATTATTTCAGTTATTTTTGTGCTTACAATGTAAAAACTCATGCACATTTGCTCTCAGTTGGACAGAACTTGAACCCTTCAGTTCAATGCTACCATTCTTATCTCTTGATATGCTTTACTGAAAGACACAGGTTTTGCCAATGCACAGTGGCACTGATGTCACCGTGCATAATTTAAACCCATACCTTATTAATTTTTATAATTACAGCAGCCTTATATATATTGAAGCTGAATTACTACTAGAATGATTTAAACTTTTTTATTTATTGAATGCTGAAATATTCACCTTACATTAGAGGTAAATAAAATAATTAGTGTGTTGTGAGTCACATTTGCATTCCTCAGAATTGTTGCAGTAAATGCACAAAATCTGTACAGACTGTCTTATCTACGTAAAAGGTGAATACATGCTTACAAAATGAGAACTCAAAGCTTATAATGTTTATTTGTCACTTTATTTAGAAAAAACAACTATATTTAGTACTTTCATGTGTTAGAAAAACAAGTATTTATTTTTTAAACAAGATTTGGATACCATGAACACTAACTATAAATTCTCTATAATTTCTTGGTGCTTTGATCCCCATTTGGTTCTAAAATTATGTTTTGTGAATTGGAAACACTTAAATTTAAAGAATAACCTGAGCAAATAGACTTATGGGTAGTTTTAGAGGTTTTTAATAATTTAGCATTTGGCACAGTACCAAGATGAATAAATATTAACATTAATATTTATATTTGGTTAAGAGCATAACATGATGAGTTATTTATGCTAAACTACCACATAAAACCACTTTGATAATGACAGAAGATAGCACCGTAAAGGGTTCTCCAATGATCAGAAGTTATTGTCACTAATGGAAAATATAGGGATTTACAAGTTTTAGGCGAATGCAAACAAAGGAGTTACAATTTTTATGTCCTGTTTATGAAGCCTGATACTTAAAATTTCCATCTTTACATTTGCTGATTTTTTTTTTTCAAATATAAAAGCTACGGTGGACCCATGTCTAACCTTCATCTCCAAGATGTCTAACATTTCTGTATCCCAATAGTTAATAATTCACCATGGCTGTCGAGGGAGGAGCAAGGTGGATGGGTGAACTTGTAACCATTTAGGGGGTTATTTTGTTTTTTTTTTTTTTTTGGCTATATATTTTCCCACAGTACTTGAAACAGAGCTTTAAGACTTTTCTTTAAACTGTTGAGTGGTTGATTTTCTTGTTAGAAAGACAGTTCATTCGTGATTTCTGAGTGGGAAGGAATTAACGTAGTACTGTCTGGGATGTCCTTTTGGTAACTTTTTGTTTATTTTATGTGGAAGGTGGAATATTGGTTAGAAATGAACTTAAGTCATTTAATTGGAAATTGTGGGAAAAATTAGAGCAACGATTTGATTAAGAAATAAATCTAAGAATATTGAGACCTTTATACTTTCAAAGGTGGTCACATCTCAGAGAGCTAGCTAATTTTTTTTAAAGCAGGCAACAGGAATTTACTGCTTTTAAATGCTAGAATCTAGATTTGTTTTTGAGTCCCTCCTTGTTTACAGCAAGAATAAAACCAGAGTTAAATCCTCCCAAGCTGCAATCACCTATTGATAACAGTGGCAGCTGTGTTCCTGCTTGGAAAAGTGGGATTTTATGCAGAAGCAGGAGAGAAAAGCCACCACTTAGGTGTCCTTTGTAATAAACAATCAACAGACTACTCAACAAGGAACCTTGAAAAACCACACTGTGCTGCCTCCCTCTTTGCCTTCCTAAGGCTCCCTTCTTTCCAGAAGTTTCCTTTCAAGAAGCTTGGAAAACATCCCTGAGCTCATAGGATGCCCTCCCACAGACAAAGGGTGCAAAGTTTTGTGGGCCATCAAGCTGCAAACTCCTCCTTTTCAAGAGACAGAAGGACATGGCTGGAACTTGGGACATGGTCAGAAAGGTTGTGCTGTGGGGCAGGGCAATGACCTCAAGAATCAGAGCCTCTCCACACCCCACTTATCCTACAGCTTCTCAGAAACAGTCTCTCAAATGTCCCAAGCAGAGGCATTACTGGACTGGTGTAGTCTGATCTGGGGGTAGGTTGCCTATTGACCCATAGGGAGACTGCTCCATCCTAGACACTGTTTGTGACTGGCAAATTGACCTGACTCAGGACAGTTGACATCGCCAGAAGCAAACCTTGAAGCCAAACCTCTGACAGGACCATTCGAGAATGGAGACTGTGTGTGCTGGGGAAGCATGGTGTATGGAGTAGATGGCACACAGGCGAAGGGCAAAGCCAAGTTTAATGGCAGCTCCTCCCCCAGCAGAGTCTGTTCCAATGGTCTGCTTAGGAGCCTTGTGCAAGGGAAAGATGATTTGATTCTTCTGTCTCACGTCTTAATTGACACCCAAACTCAACTATTAGACTTCTGGATAGCCTCGTTCTACACTCCCTCCCCCCCCGGGGACTACTGGGCATTGAACCTCCAAAAGGTTTTTTATTTCATCTTTAACGAACAAGCAGCCGAAGGTGGCGCGGTACAAGGCATTGACTGTAAAGAATGAGAATGGGACAGTAAGAGATCAGGAGAGGAGAGGCGAAAGGACTAGAAAGACTGACTTTTTCTTTACCAACTTCCCTTCAGGCTGCCTCAGGGGAGTCATCTTGGATTAGACCTAGTGAACTGTCCTGGGCAGCTTGGTGACCCCGATCCTCTCTGAGACAAAAGTGTGGGTTCACACTAGCTTTATAAGGTACACACCAGGACTAGCCCTTGCCTTCAATCCTTTAAGCCAGCAGGCAGGGGTCTCCTACAGGGACCTTGCCTTGTCGTGAAGCAGCAGCAGAAGCTGCAGGTCAAGGTAAGCGCAAGGAGGTTGTGTTCTACTCCACCCCTCTGTAGTTTAAGAGTCAGGTAGCTGGGCTACAGGATTAGTGCAGGGGACCAACTGCGGTGGCACGTGGCTTCTGACCCTCAGGTAGCTTGAACCTAGCTTTGGGGGAGGGGGATTGTTGGGGCGGAAGAAAAAGCCAAACCCCTAGCCGGCAGTTTCAATTGGGAGCGGAGGAAACCGAAAGGAAAGAGTGTGAGAAGATGAGGCGGGGCAGAAAAAGATAAACAAAAACCCAGTTTCTCGCTAAGTAAAGGCGCTCTCGCCGCCAGTTCCTGTAGTACAGTTTCTTGAAAGAATTTGGATAGTGGAGCATGTGACCATCCCGTGACTGGGACAATCAGCTGTTGTCACTGCTCACAAACACACTGAGATCCTAACTTCCAGTGTCAATCAAGACACTCACCGAGACACCTTTGTCCCTTATCTAGAGTCCTATCCCCATGGGTAATGAGCAACTTTTTTTCATCCGCTTTCCTCTTGCCTTGTCCTATACAGCCCAGGCTCCAAGGCGGTGGCCCCAGCATCTGCATGCCATTGAGGTCAAGCCAGGAATAGGACTTTTCGAGGATGATCAGGGTGAGGGTCGTGCCCACTCCCCCTTAAAGGGAGTAGGGTTAGTGCATGGGAGCAGGAAGCAGGGTGGTTGAAGATTGGTATTTGTGGGCCCTGTCCTAAACGTGTCCTGCTAAAAGCATTTCCGTTCAGGAGGCAGAAAGGTTCGGAGACTCGACTGTCGCCAAGCCTAGTTATGTTTTTAGGATCTGGGGGAACTTGTGAATCAGAGAGAAAAGCCCCCATAGGAACGAAGTGCTCTAAGGGACGCCTGGTTGTTGGGGCTGAGTGTCCCGACATGTACAGATGTCCCAAGTCAGGAGGGCATCTGGTGGCTTTAAGAAAAGAGAGAAGTTGTGCCTTACTATAAAGTGAGAGAGGAGGGGTCCCAGTGCAAGCAACTTGTGCCACTGGAGAGGAGATCTGCAAACTGACTCCTGAAGCCCACCTGGTCAGCTACTCAGGTAGCTGCAAGTGAAGTCAGAGCAGGGCACACCCCTCTGTCATCCCCGAGGGCCACTTGGGCAGCATCATTTGTCCTGAGGTTGCACCGCTGCTGGTGGCGGTGCTCTGGACATAAGGTGCACTTACCACTAGCTCCCACCACGTCCTTTATCTCACAAAATCGAGCAAGCCCCTGGTTTCTCGGACATAGCCTTTAGTTTCCTGAACTTTCTCCTAGCAACTCTTTTTGCGGAGGGGCCCAGTCAGAGTGGGAAAGGGAAAAGGGGACCCTGGGAAGGTCCTGCTATAGGCGTCTGCGTCCGGTTCCGAGAGCATCCAGTGTTTACTATTCTTGAGAAGGTACGCACTTGTAGACTGGGATGTTCCTGTGTCTGGCAACGTGGCTCAGTGTCATCCCCCTTGTTCACCTCAGGCCAGAGACCACGGTGTGACCCCGGCTTCCAGCAGCCTCTACCCAGTCATCCCGCTTCCTGTTCTCCTCTATCCCGTGTCCTGTGGCGCACCCGAAAGTGAAGCGCAGAAAAGATTTAGAGCAAATCCAGAACTGAGAGAAGTGACTAGCGCTGTCCCAGTCTCCAAAAAGCGCCCTCCCGCGTCCTGCCGAAGTCCCGAGCCTTCCACACATTCCCACAACTTTCCAAGCCCAGGCCATTCACAGTCCCACCTGCGAACCGAACTCGAGGAGCTGAGCATAGCCAACCTCTCTTCCCTTGGGCCGAGAGCGCTCCCCTCCCCCCTCCCCAGCTGCGGGTCTGGCTGGAGTTGGCTGGCCTCAGGGACCCTGGGCGCCCGTGGGCTCGCTTACCTCGCATGGTGTGGCCGCTGTCCTGCTCCGCGTAGTCATGAAGCTCCCAGCCCGAACCCCAGAGAACCCAAAAATCCCGCTCAGCACGAGGGAAGAAGGTGGTCTGAGCAGAGCTGCTCCGCCGAGAGAAGCATCCCTGTCGGCAGACGTCGTGGCCACAGCGTGACGGGGGCCGCCGCTGCTATGCTAACAGTTTTGATGCTGTTGCTGATGACTGTTTTTGATGGCTGTTTGTTTGTTTTCAGGCAGGGTGGAAAAAAAGGTCCTGGCTGGCTGGTGCCTGGGTTTTGTTTTGCTTTTGTTTGTTTGTTTGTTTGTTTCTTTTCTCTTTCTCTCCAGTGTGCTTGCTTAAAAAAAATGCCACCGCCTCGGGCTCGGAGATTTCTTTTGTGATCACTTGGGCTGAGGAGGAGGAGAAGGGCAGTCGCAGGAGGAGGAGTTGGTGGTGGTTTTGTTAGTTACAAAGAAGAGGGAGAACGATCAAGGGGGGAAAAAAGGAAACAGAAAAGAAAGAAAGGCGGTGTGGATGGCAGAGCATGTGCGTTTTCACATGACATCTGTGCCTGTTAGAGGATCCACAATGTGAATTTTCACTGTTCAGTTGCAGAGAGGAAGGGAGCAAGAGAGAAAGAGGAGAGAGGTGGAGAGAGCGAGCGCAGCAGAGGCTTATACGCCAGGGCGGGTTTGGCCGTACTTCCTGGCCCCGCCTCCTGTCAGCGCCACGGCCAATCAGCTCACCGCAGCGCGTGGACAGGCTGGGAAGGCGGGGGAGGGAACGCGCTTGAGGACAGGGGGCGGGGCCGAGGACTCTGGTGTCCTAGGCTGTGCGGACCCAGACTGGGAATTAGAGATGGTCCTATCTGAGGTCGGATCTGGGCTGAGTGCAGCGTGCCTGGGAGTGAGGCAGATCTGCGAGTGACTTTTACTTCTGACTCCAGTAGTTAGAAAGGGACACTGGCTGGTTCTTCGGAGGTAAGAGCCAACAGGGCCCGCCGGACTGCACCCTCTGTCCCTCTCTCACACAGCCCTTGGAGAGTTTCGTATTTACAGCAGTGCTTTGCAGAGTCCCATTACATCCCTCCGCTCCTCTGGCAGGGGTTTACTGTGTTAGGACACTTCAGCCTTTAGAGGTAGACTACAAAACCACACCCCTCTAGCTCCGTGCAGCTTCTTTTAGAGACTATTCCAAGGTTCCCCTCTCTTCACTCTGTCTCTGGTCCTCCCTTAACCCTCCCTTCTCTCTCCTTTTCTACTTCACTCTCCCTCCCTTCTTCTTAGTTTCAGGTTCCTTTGTCATGAACATGGACTTCTTTAGCATTTGGAAATTCCCTGATCCCTGGTTGCAGGACTTAAGGACAGGCTCCTTTGGCTTTTTGGTCACCTCAGTGATAGGTCACTTGGCAAAGAGCCTAGACTAGAAGGCAAGACAGTGTGACTCTATTAAGTTGGTGAAGGCTTAAAGAGCAAGACACGTGGCTAGTTGCTCTTCAGGGACACCCATTAGGGGAGCTTGACACTAAAACAGTTATCGTGCTACTCGCGTTCCTTAGATGAAATTTGTCACATATGACAGTTTACTTGCAGTCTGAAAAAGAAAATGAAGCACTCTTACCAAAACTGTTCCTTTGTATAGTTTCCTTCTTTGTGGAGGGAGCAAACACATCATATAGATGCATGGCATCATAATTTCCTTTTGTGTAGTTTTGAACTGCTTCAATAATTTGCTTAATTGGTCGTCACAAAGACTGAAAGTGGAAAGTTTGCTTGATTGTTCAGTTAGAAAGCATAGAGACGGGACTCAATATCAGACCCACTGGAAAAAAACTTGAGTTTTTTATTTTCGTCAATATTTATTCATTCTACTTTCTGTAATACAAATATGTTGTAGAATGGTAGTTGTTAGTCCTTTGCATACACTGTCAACTAGTTGCCCCTCCAATAAGAAGTGTATCACTTCTTGAATCTTCACCAGTGTTCAACTAATACAAGTCTTTGTGCTTTTCTGTTTGCAAGACCATGTGTAATTTAGGAACATTTTGTGGAAAAAGGAAAAGTTGATTGAGTCATTAATTAAATGAAATGAACAAAAGCAAGGTATTATTCAGGATAGCTATTCCTCATAAATACCTATCTCCTAGATTTTTAATTGACACAGTAGTTAATCTTTTAAGATAATATTTAAGGCTCCCCGGTTTTATCATTTTTAATCAAGTAAAATATATTCATCATAACTACATTAAAGCTGCAGTAAGTTATGCCTAATTTAGTTGCTTCATTAAAAATTACTGCATATAAAATAGTTAAGAAACAAATTGTGACTGTATCATTTCAATTTTATGAGCTTCAAGCAGAGTCATAGGAATATTGAAAATTTTGAACCCTTTGTAAACATTGTAATTGCTATTGTTATTATTTCCTGTTTCTATTTCCCATTAAAGAGGGATTTTAAAATTCAAAAACTAACTTTTATGTATCAAGTTTCTAATTAATTATTGAATCCTAAAAAATATTTTTGCTGATGAAATATCTTCTGTAGTCTTTGAAAAATACAGTAAACACATGGATGGAATGAACTCCTCTGTGCCCATTTTTATAAGCTTTTTGTTTTGTTAATTCAATACTACACATTTATCTTTAGAATATATTTCTTGGTTTTCTCCAGTCATTTAAAATTTTCTTTTTATTTATACTATGTGTCTTTTACGTCTGTCCTCAGTTCCTGCACCCCCCCAAAAAAAAGCCCATTTAAGAGAAAAAAAGAAAAGCAGAAAAAGGAGAAAATATTAGAAATCTTATCACGGAAGCTACGGTGTGATACAGTGCATTACACAGTGAACCCCTTTGTCCATATGTCTTTACTTGCAAGTGTTCATTGCAAAGAGTTATTGGTCTGGTTTGAGGCCTCTGGTTTCTACTACACTATAGATGCTGGGTCCTCACTAGGATTCTTCTTGGATATCCTGTTGTTGCCCTGTGTTGAGAAGATCCTGCAGCTTTGGATCAAAACCATGCTAGTTATAAGTAAAGATTTATTTCAATTTTCTTAACTCTGTACATATGGTAATGCAGAATGGTTATTTTCTTCTTTATAGTGACGTAAGCACTGATCTTTGTCTATAATCTAGTGATCTGGGGCTTTTGGGGCCCTGCTAAAATTTTAAAAATAGAGTTTGTCAATGTTTTTATAACTTTTACATTTATTTAAAATTAATAGGCCCCATTTGGAAATAAAAAACAAATATTCAAAATTCTAATTAAGGAAGCCAACGTTTTCTAAGAGCTTACACAATACTTACATACAATGTGATGCATTTATAACACATCCTATAACAAATGTTCATATTTCAAATGGTATGACAATATTATAGTCATAAAATATTCTTGTCCATATATAATGCAGTGTGAGTAATTTTGTTAGAAGGATTATGGAGCTGAGTAATTACAGGCTTTATACTTTGCTTTGATTCAGGGCCTTGAGGATGTTGTATTGGTGAATCAATTTTGATTAATTTCAATGACAATTAGTCAAACAGCACTGTACCCAATCTCAACATAAATACGATTTCACTTAGGGCTCCATTGCATCTACTGTCTATAATGTTGGCACTCCTCAGGAGTATTAATGATGGGATATGTCCTAAAGGAAACAAATCTTTAATATAAGCCAGCCAGGTAGGGTAAAGATGATGTTTAGGATGATGGAAACCCTAAAATCCTTGAAGAAAAAGAGAAAGTAACGAGTCATTATATTTGAAACTGGTTTAATGTATACATGGAGAGTGTTTCCATAGTTATAAACCTTGGAGGAATGTTGGCAATGCTGACATCTATACTAGGAATCATTGAAAGATTGCCTGTATTTAGCATAGTCCGGGAAGCCATGTCACTAGGAAAGTTGAAGAAGATATATGTTCATTATGTGTGTGTGTGTATGTGTGTGTGTGTGTGTGTGTGTGTGTGTGTATGTGTGCCTGCCTTTAAATATTATAAGACCAGTAGAAAATTTCACACTCGACTCTATTGAATATGGAAAAACTTACTGAGGTTCATGTTAATAAAGGCATTCAATAAAGGGATTAATGAAAAGTTTTGATGAAGATTCTTGGGCCAACATTTCTGTTCTAGCCTAGATGTTATCTGGGATACCTCTAAAGATCCTATGGGGCTCCAGAATTTCACTGCCCTAGCAGCTGCATCTGAGTGGTTCTGGGCTTCTTACCTAAGAAGGTAAGCTCTAAGGGAACAGGGAGTCTAGGATTCTTGGACTCTGCGAGTGCTCCTGGGACATCATAGGCCTTACACAACTGTTGGGAGACAGACTGGTTTCTACTGGGTGGATGCTGATGGCAAATGGAGACAAGAATCCCTTGCTTTATAAACTCTCAAGATTGGGAAAGAAAATATAAGGGTTGAGATTGCTTACATGACTAGCAAAGTAAATTTACCTACTTTTATATTCATTATTAATTTTCATTTCATTCGCAGAATCTGTAGAATCTGTTAGAATTTTCCATTTTTCTTCCTTTTAAAGTTAGGATACATAGTTGGCAAGTATTGAAAGTGAAAATATAAAAACTGTGTCGTTTGTGCATTATGATAAATGAGAGAAGGCAGCATGGGCTAAATAAAACATAAATTAACTCCAGTGTGCAAGGATAGAAATGAGAAAGACAAGGTTCAGGGAAAGAAAAACAGTATGTAGGTGAAAAAAGAAGAGAGAAGAAATGCCAATATTTGTTTTATTAGATGAATCTTCTAATTTCTGTCCCTTTCTAGAGCTTGACTGTTCTGTGTTATATCTCCGACACCACCCCCTCCAAAAGCAACAGAGGCTTAGGTAGCTGAGTACTGTCAAAGACCACAAACCTGAAAATGCGGGACCCTGAGTTCAAGCTAAGGTATAAAAACTAAAATGTAAATTCCAAGAGAGTGTGGGACCTGCTTTGATTTTATTTATTTTATTGCTAAACAGACAGAGTTTAGAATTTTGCTTGGCAAAAAGTAGATGGTTAAGATACACAAGCCAATAAAGAAACAGACATTTGAGCCAGGGCCCTGCACAACACAACCTTTGCAGGGTCTACTCACTAAATGACAGTGAATCCAGGACAGTGAATCCTGACTTGAGAAATAGAAGGATAGTATGAAAATGTATCATACAATAACAGCCCAAGTGGGTTCATAACAGAAGTTAGAGAATAAATTTGTAATAAATATTTCATATCAGAGATAATGTCACCCAGGATTAAACTTGCACCAGTAAAAATGCAGGGTGTAGGAAGGTGAGCTTGACTCGAAGTAGAAACTCTGATGTCTCCTGATGACTACAGAGAGCAAGGTGGTGGGGGCGGGGAGGAGACTAACGACAGTCAGGAGAGTCAACAGCCTGGGAAGAATGAGCATGCCTTGGGAATAAGCACGGTGGAGAGATTCTTTGAATAGGAAACGGTTGTGATAAGCTTGAGTTTCCTGTATGTCATCTGTAATATTCAGCAGAGTGCTGTGCATACAGAGCTGGAAAGATGTTGGTTAATGTGAGAGTGAGAGGCAGAAGACATTCAAACCCTGAGGAAAACACAAACACTATGCAATTGAAATGGAAATAAATACAAAAAGCACTCGATTTCCATTGATATGTATTCAATAGTACTGTGGACAGAAGCAATTTTTCTAAATAAAGTTAGTTCTTTATGACACATAGAGAAAAAATGTACTTTTCTTTATATAAGTTAAAAAGTAAGCATTTTGATGGTGGAAGATTCCCAAGCAAATCAATAGACTGGGGGAAACATTTGCAGTCTAGACAACAGAAAAAAGACTAACAGCCTTCATAAACAAATCAGTACAAATGTACAAACTGATAGAAACTATCAAAACTGGTGCTGGTAGAGGAGAAAGGGAGTGATAACTGAGATAATTTTTCTCTATGACTTTATCCTTTATTTATAGCCCCAGAAGTGCTGCTCATAAGT